ACAAATGCAACTAACTACTTTTATGAAACTGAGATCTGCCTATCCTGGGTGCATTGGAAAGAAATCTGCAAACTCTGTCAAATTTTGATTACATTTTCATCCATCATTGGTCACCATCATTATTCGGTATATAATACTATTACGAGAACTGCAATAACATATGTATCTATTTTAGCCAAAATAACCCTACTAAACTAAGTATCATGCTTTAAAAAAGCCAAAATCTGATTAGCTTGGATGAGCTACCTTGAGTTATAAATTTTGGGTACATTCATGAAAACTAAGACAAGAACTCTAAAGTGAAGTATAAAATAAACAAAACATTCAATAATGGAGGCATGTGTGTGTGAGTACCAAGAGAGAAAAAAAAAAACTTTCAATAATGAATCAAGTTTTGGAATGGGCACAAGAAAATGTTGGCCACATTTGTAGAATAAGAATTATAATCCAGAAATTAAGCATATAATCCAAAGTGAAGTATATAATCCATAAATTAACCATCATTTTCTGTTATAATTAACATCCTTTTTGCATGCCTTAGTTGTTGCTGATACTTTTTAATTGGGGTTGGACGGCATATTCTCTGTGAGCTTTCTAGCAAGAAATGTCTCTCATTATCAAAAATATGGAAAAGAAAAGAGAACATTTTATATATTTTTCACTTTTTTTTTTTTTTTTTTTTTTTTTTTTTCCTTCTCTTTTCCTTTTTTGAGAACAAGAAGTTTGCAGGATCAATAATCTGGTATCTAGAGGGTAACATCATAAGAATTTCATTAGCTAACTTCAACAACTCAGTAGGTAGTTTCTTCAAGGTAAGATAAAATAGCATCTTAGAACCATAAAATATTTTCTTTGTTTAATCCCTAAGCATTTATGACACCCCTAGTGATAAAATTATTAGAAGCCCCATCCCTAACATGTCTAAAATGATTTACTTTGACCGAAACTCACAGTAACATGACGTCTTCTCAACTAGGTATTTTTATAATTGGAAGATCTCTCCAAAATGCATCAAATTTAATAAAATTAAAGCATTGTTTGGTGTTAATGACATAAGCAAGCTTCATATTCTGATCTTATTTGGTTGAAGTTTAGAAGTTTTTTCATGCTTCAAGGGTTATCCTTGTCATATATTTTGGCATAAGAGCGCACAAAATACATACATAATTTATTGAATAGAGTACGTTTCTTCAAGCTAAAAGCAAAAGTGCAAATGTAACAACTAAAGCAATAATAAAATCCTCAATAGCAGGATAATGGTAACCCCTAGTAACCCATAGTTTAGATGCTTTCGAGGTCACTAGGATAAGGTTTCAGAATGAAAATGAAAGCCACCGTGAGCCTGTGTAATTTAATGGAGATTTAATCCTCAAGCAAAGGAAATTTGCAATGTACAGTATGCAAGAATCAATAAAGAAATGGAAAGGATATGTATATAGAGAAGAGGCTGACAATAACTTTATAACAAATCATCCACGAGAAATGTGGAAAATTCGGTTCTATATATAAGTGTAATTTCATTGTGATTTTAATACAACTGAATTTTAGTCCAATTTGTGTAATGGTATCAGAGCCGTAGGCTCAATTCTGGGAATTGTATTTCTGGTCTTGCGAACTCTCATATCGCTAGACAGATTATTATCAATCTCCAACCCCACACTATCACCCCTCAAGACTATAACCCTTTTACCAAAAGACCATGTCAAAAACAGCTGACAACAGCAACACCGGCCACAACTACCTCGGAGGTTCCTTTGACTGAAGGCAGCAACTCGACTCCAACTGGGGAATTGCAGAACATCCAGGCAACGTACAGGTTGAACAGAAAGAACTATCTAAAGTGGTCTCAACTCGTTCGCACGCTCTTGAAGGGAAGAGGCAAACTGAGTCACTTACTCGGTACCAGGCCTAACAAAGGGGATCCCAAATTTGATGCTTGGGATGAACAAGACTTAATGGTAATGTCCTGCTTATGGAACTCTATGTTGCCAGAAATTGGTGATACATGTATGCTTCTTAACACATCCAAAGAAATATGGGAGGCCGTGAAACAGACTTACTCTAAAGTCTGGGATGCTCCACAAATCTATGAAATCAAGACCAAGATTTCATCCACCAAGCAAAGAAGTCGATCAATCATAGAGTACTCCAATCTGTTGCAGAGCTTATAGCAAGAGATGGATCATTACCAGTGCATTCAAATGAAATGCAGCGAGGATGCAGCCCTCCTTAAGAGGTTTGTCGAAAAAGACCGAATTTATGATTTTCTTGTAGGACTGAACATTGAATTTGATGCAATAAGAGTCCAAATACTTGGAAAGGAAGATCTGCCATCACTTAATGAAACAATTGCAATTGTTCGTGCTGAGGAAGGAATAAGAGGAGTTATGATTGAGAATAACCCAGTGGATAGTTTGGCCTTGGTTACAAAAGCTGCAAATGTAAGGAACTTTGGCCCGAAGCAGCCATCTAATAAAGACAACAAGCGGGCAGATTTTATAAGGCCAGTCAATAAAGATTCCCTATGGTGCACATATTGCAAAAAGTCCCGCCATACTAGGGACAAATGTTGAAAAATCTACGACACACCGAAGACAGCAAACAAAAATTGGACAACAAAAGGTGGACAGCCAAACGGACAGGGCAGGCGTATATGGCAAATATACAATAGGCTAGAGAAGGTAAATCTCAAGAATCATCTATTGAGTTCGATAGAGAGAAAATTGAGAAATTGAAGAATCTGCTGGGATCTTTGGAGAAACCATCTACAACAGGTACTTGCACTTTGGCGTTTTCAGGTATATATCTTCCTCTGCTCATGCTTTTAAAGTCTCGGATATATCCACCACAAGCTCCTGAGTACTCAGGAGCTATAGATCACATGACCCACTCCTCATAAAAATTTATCTCATATCCTTGTCAATCCACAAGCTCACTAAAGATTCTAATTGCAGTGTGGTGTTTTATCCCTTTCGTTGTGTATTTCAAGAACAAGGCACGAGGAGGATGATTGGACATGCTAGAGAAAGAGATGGTCTTTACTATCTTGAAGAACCCAGTGGTCAAGTTAGTGTTGCGAATTCCTCACAATTATCATTTCTTTCAGAGTCTTTTAAATCCAATAAAGATAAGATTTGGCTTCAACACCTCCGTCTTGGTCACCAATCATTTAGAGTCCTTAAAATTATGTTTCCTTTATTGTTCAAAAGATTAGATGTTAGAAAATTTTCACTGTGATGTCTGTGAACTTGCAAAGCACAAACGTGTTTTTTTCCGAATAAGCGATAAAAGAACATTTGTTCCATTTACTCTTATTCATAGTGACATTTGGGGACCGTCCACTATTCGTAACATTTCTGGGGCTCGGTGGTTCGTTTCTTTCATTGATGATTGCACTCGTGTATCTTAGATCTTTCTTGTAAAAAATAAATCTGATATGAGCTCTGTCTTTCCTATTTTTTACAACATTGTCAAAACACAATTTGGTATTGAAATAAAAAGATTTCGTTCTAACAATGCTAAAGACTATTTTAATCAGTTTCTCTCACCATATATCCGAGAAAAGGGTATAATACATTAATGTTCTTGTGCTAACACACCCTAACAAAATGGTGTGGCTGAACGAAAGAATGGTCACATTTTAGCTATTACAAGAGCATTCTTGTTTCAAAAAAATGTTCCTAAGCAATATTGGGGAGAAGTGGTTTTAACTACTACTCATATGATAAACAGATTGCCTACAAAGGTTCTTGTTTTTAAAAGTCCTATGCAAATTCTAACGAAATTCTTTCCTATTTTCAATGCTTCAAGTAGTCTTGTTCCCAAAATATTCGGTTGTGTTGCTTTTGTCCATGTGTATTCTCAAAATAGGGGAAAACTTTATCCACGGGCTATCAAATACGTCTTTATTGGCTATTCTTCCACTTAAAAGGGGTACAAATGCTATCATCATCCCACAACAAAATTCTATGTGTGAGCTGATGTCATTTTTGCTGAAGAAGATCATTACTTTACTTGTCCTTATCTTCAAGGGGAGATCTCATTCACGGAAGATAAGGACAAGAATATTTTTCTTCTTGATTTTCGATTATCCTCTTCCTCGGTTCCTGTCTCTGTTGTCCAGCCAAACACTCAGTCCGTTCCCGTTGACACTCAGTCCGTTCCTATTGATCAACCTGAGCTAGTCCAGCCTGAGCCAAACATTCAGTCCGAATCCATACAAGACTCTACTCGTCCACTGCTGGTTTTTTCAAGAAGAAGGGCACCAATCACTCAATCTGTGCAGGTTCAATCACCTAAATCAACCCCTCCTCTTGGACTTAGCGAGGTAATTACTGAACCTATTTCTAATGAATATGGTGTCACTGAAGTTCTTGATCAAAGTGATTATGATATTCCCATGCTATTAGAAAGAAAACTGGAGCATGCACTAAACACCATCTGTACTTATTCATGTCAAACAAGAATCTGTCCCATTACCACAAAGCCTTTCTTACAAGCCTAAACACAATCTCCATTCCCAAAACCATATCCGAGGCATTAGGTAATGAGAATTGGAAGAATGCCATGAAGGTCGAAATGGAAGCACTTGAGAGAACAAGACATGGGACTTGGTGAAATTGCCAAGAGGGAAGAAACCGGTGGGATGTAGATATTCACGATGAAATACAAGTCAGATGGTTCGTTAGAGAGGTACAAAGCAAGGTTGGTTGCTAAAGGCTATACCCAAACGTATGGAATAGATTATCTTGAGACATTTGCTCTTGTTGTGAAGATGAACACCGTTAATGTTGTTGTCATTGACTGCTAATCTGGACTGGAAATTATAGTAATTCGATGTCAAAAATGCCTTTTTACATGGTGATCTCAAGGAGGAGGTTTATATGGAAGTTCCAATGGGGTTTGGTTTGAATACAGGACAGGTGGTATGCAGGTTAAGAAAGGCGTTGTACGGATTAAAACAGTCTCCAAGAGCTTAGTTTAGAAGGTTTGTCAAGGTAATGCTCGATATAGGATACAAACAGAGCCAAGGCGATCACACCTTGTTTGTAAAGCACTCGGCTTCAGGGGGAGTGACTGCATTGTTAGTCTATATAGACGACATTATAGTGATAGGTGATGATTTGGAAGGAATGGAGAATTTAAAAAAGTGTTTAGTGAAAGAATTTAAAATCAAAAAGCTCGGCAAACAAAAGTATTTTCTCGGCATTGAGGTAGTACATTCTTGGGAAGGAATTTTCATATCTCAGCAAAAATATGTAACAGATTTGTTGACGGAAACAGGCAAGTTAGGTTGCAGACTAGCAGAGACGCCTATAGAGTTCAACCACAGGCTTGGAGATACTCTGGAAGACACGGCAGTAAATAAAGGCTCCTATCAGAGACGTGTGGGAAGGCTTATCTACTTGTCACACACTAGACCAGACATAGCCTATGTAGTTAATGTTGTAAGTCAATTCATGCACAATCCCAAAGAGTCACATTTTAGGGGTATGTATCGAATCCTACAGTACTTGAAAGGCACACCGGGCAAAGGAATTCTATTTAAGAAGGGGAAGGAGCTAATTCTTAAAGCCTACACTGATGCAGATTTTGCAGGGTCTTTAATTGACAGGAGATCTACCTCGGGTTATTGCACTTTTCTACGAGGCAACCTTGTGACTTGGAGGAGTGAAAAACAGAATGTTGTGGCAAGATCCAGTACAGAAGTCGAGTTTAGAGCAATGACACTAGGGATTTGCAAATTATTATGGCTAAAAATTGTCTTAGAAGATCTAAGAGTCAAGTGGGAAGGTCCAATGAAGCTTTATTGTAACAATAAATCAGCCATCAATATTGAACATAATCCAGTGTAACACGACTATACGAAGCACATTGAAATTGACAGGCACTTTATAAAGGAGAAGCTTGACAGTGGCCTAATATGCACTCCATTCATTTCCACTAGCGATCAACTTGCAGACATACTCACCAAAGGATTGTCTGGGACATATTTTTAGAGACTAACAATCAAGCTTGGAATGGATGATATCCATTCACCAGCTTGAGGGGAGTGTGGAAAATTCAGTTCTATAAATAAGGAAACCGTGTGTGTATAGCTGTAATTAGCTAATGAAACCGTGTGTATAACTGTAATTAGCTAGGAGGATTTGTAATATTTTAGTCATTGTAATCCCTGATTTTAGGAAATTAGTTTTTGGTCAATATCTTTAGGATTAGACAGTTTCCTAGTTTTAGAGTTTCCTAATTTAGATACTCTAAAGTGTATATATCAATGTAATTTCATTGTGATTTTAATACAATTGAATTTCAGCCCAATTTGTGTCAAGAATAAATAGTCTGTAGGTCCATTTAGAGTGTGCAAGATCAACAGCAACAACAATGCATTACGATCCCTTCATTCCCAGGCCAAGCAACTGCATAAGGACCAAGTGAGAAACATGATCAATATCATAGAGCAATGCACGCTAACCAGTGACTCAATCAAAAATATTCAAAAACAGAACCTTCTGAGTAATGTTATTTTCATCTTACTTCATCAAATCATAATTTGATAAACAGTAATAAGGTTGCCATATGGTCAACACCTTTGACTAAAACACAAAATAGACTAAGTGCATACCATTTTAGTGTTGCAGCTTCCTAGTTAATCCTATTTAAAAGGTCTCTAAAGGAACAAAAGAGATTTGATAGCCATTTCCCGCTAATCTGAGAAATAAAATTTTGAATCATCAATTATTCTTTGTAAGTTCAAATTATGCAGAAAAATCTGCTGGAAACTCAAAAAGATATTTGACAGTAATTACCAAGATTGAATAGCTGTAAATTAATTATAAATTAGGCAGTGATTAGTCAATGATTATAAATTAGGAATGTATCTTTGTTAGGTAAGCTAATTAGTTATTCTTTTCCTTAATTAGTTAATCTTTTCCTAGTTTAGATTTCTTGTAATTCCTATAAGTAGGAATCCGTGCAAGTCAGAAAAGAATTAATATATAAGAAAATCATTCCCAAACTATTCTCTCTGTTTTTATTGTATCAGAGCCAGCAATTGCTTGCTGACTCCTTCTTTCCCTCTTCTGTATCTCTCTTTTGTTTCCTATTCTTTGGCTCGACTGTAACACCATGTCTGATGTTTCAATTGAGTCTGTTGTAGCACCATCCTCCTCTACTGCAAACTCATCAAAAGGTAATGGAATCAACTCCGAGTCTCACTCTGTTCAAACTACCACTATCCGCTTGAATGGTGATAATTTTTTACGATGGTCTCAATCGGTTCGCATGTACATTCGGTTGAATGGTGAAAAAACAGCCCCTATAGAAGATGATCCAGCCTATGCGACTTGGGATGCTGAAAATTCTATGGTCATGACATGGCTTGTGAATTTCATGGAAGAGGATATTAGCTCTAACTATATGTGCTATCCAACGGTACAAGAGCTTTAGGAGAATGTGAACCAGATGTATTCGGATTTGGGTAATCAATCTCAAATTTTTTTAGTTGACTCTCAAACTTGGTGAAATGCGTCAAGGAGAGGATAGTGTCACCAAGTATTTCAACTCTCTAAAACAAGTGTGGCAAGATCTCGATCTATTCAATACCTATGAATGAAAATCTGTGGAAGATAGCCATCATCACAAGAAAATTGCGGAGGACAATCGGATTTTTAAATTTCTTGCTGGCCTCAACATTGAATTTGATGAAGGGAGAGAATTATTGGAAGACAGTCCCTTCCCTCAATTGGTGACGTCTTTTCGGAGGCAAGGAGAGAGGAAAGTCGAAGGAATGTGATGCTAGGCAAGAAAGGACCGGTGTTGCTATTCAAAGCTCTGCCTTAGTGGCTGCCGATGACAAACCACAGGTTTGGTGTGATTATTGCTGTTGGAAAGGAGAATATTCGGCTGAGATTTATTGCTGATCTCTAGGGATTGCCTAGCTGTATTTAATGTTTAAATATAGGCCTAGTCAATTTTGTAAATAAGGAATATTAGTTGTATAGTTATTATGTTCCTTTTTTAATGTCTTGTATAGCCTATAAGTTGTGTACGTGTATATCATTCTCAAAATCAATGAAATACCATTTCAGTAAAACAATTCTCTCCTAATTCCTTATTGTTTAGATGGTTTCTGACTCTTTTCTGCATTCTGGAAAAAGAAAAAAAAAAAATTAGCAGGACTTATTCTTTTTCTTTTTTCTCTCAAATCGAAACCCTAGCTTCTCACGATGTCTGAAGTCTCATCTGAAGTCTCTTCTAAGCCTACTGAAAACCGTGGTCCCAATTCTGATTCACACTCTGTTCAGATAACCACTATACGTCTTTATGGAGACAATTTCTGCGCTGGTCTCAATCAATGCATACAAAGGCACATTACAGGTGATACAAAGGCACCTGATTTGAAGGGTACAACTTATGCCACTTCGTTAGTGTTCTTTTCAGTAAATAATGAAAACTTTATTCTTCATTTTTAGAAAACAATAAGTGAATAAAATTCAATATACCCAAATTGTAATTAAATTTAGACAAACAAAAAAAATAAAACTTGATTTGAAAACCATAGTGAAATAAAATTTAATATATCCAAATTGTAATTAAATTTAGACAAACAAAAATAAATAATTAAATAAATAAATACAACTTGATCGCAAAATAATACCCATGAATATAAATACTATTACAACAATAATAATATAAAAATATAAACTTAGAAAATTGGAAGAAAATATAAGCTCAATATAAACTCTCATTTTCATTTCCCTGATATCTTCAGGGATGAATGTACTCTTTTGTGAACATAAGGACTACTTGGAGAACTTCGCACTAAGAAACATCCGGGAAGGTTTCTTTCATAAGGTCAAATTATTGAAATTCCTTGCAAATTGTCATGAGATTGCAACTTATATATATATAATGACACACACTAAAATGTTCATCGATCCGTAGATGGTTAAGAAACATATGTATATAGTATGTACATGTATTTCATAATATGTACATAGGTAAGGAAACATATGACAATCAAATAACTTTAAGATTGTAACTTAATGTATGAATGAATTTTCATCACCTATTATTCATTCTTTGATAATTAAAAATCATTTTCAATAGGATAATGATTTGTTAGAGTCAAAAGTCATGTTGGACAACTATGACGAATTTATGTAAGTGAAGGTTATCGTCATTATTATCATTTTATTGTTAATATTCTTTATGTCACAAATCACGATAAATAAGTCACAACTCACATAAAATTAGTTAAATTTATCCGACCATACACATAGACAATTTTGATTTTAAGAAAAATAACCACACCGCAGAAGCAACGTTTAGAAAATTTCTTTAACTAAAAAAAAAAAAAAAAAAAAAAAAAAAATGAACCAACGTTTAGAAAATTTAGACAGAGTTCCAAAATTATGCAAACAAATACTCAGTGGAGATATACACACAAGAGAGAGAAGATAAAAGTAGGAGACACATTGACATTGTAATGTTGCTTAAACCTCTCCCAACAGGCTGTAATGAAGAAGCTGTATTTTGCTTTTGGTGCCCAAAGGGAACGGTATGCAGACAACTGATTGTATGGTCACTAGAGGGTAAAAATAAACATTTGGAGTGTGAGTGAAATATAGATAATATTCTAAAAGTGAAAGTTAAAATTAAAATTTTTATTTAGGTGAGATTTGAACCTAAGCTAAAAGGGTGTCAATGTAATTTGTCAAAATATTTTTGTTACTTTTATATGAATCATATTAAATGCAAATATTTATTTCTTTAGGTCAAAGATTATATAAATGCTTTACACTTTTAGTGTTAGTATAAAACATATTAAATATAAATATTTATTTTTGTAGGACACAGATTATATGAAAACTATACAATTTTGTTTTTAGTACTAATCATATTAAATGTAATTTCATATTTTATGTAATGCTTTCAAATTATTTATTTATTCTTCCTAATAAATTTTGGTAAGGAATTTCTAATTTTTCAATTATACATATAAAATCATTTACTTTTACTTTTTCAAATATGTTTGTTTTTTTTTTTTTTTGGTCTATGATGAAACAAAATATAATATATATATATATATAGCTTTTTTATTTTTCATAAAAAAAAAAAAAAAACTGGTCCCCACTATTGTTTTACACTACTTTGATTATAGAAAAAATAAACCTAATTTATATCAACTTTTTCTAAATAGTAAATATTTTTTAAAAAAATTATCTCTTAATAACTCTTGCATCATTTTTATCAGCCATGGTAATTTTACATTGCCTAGTCTTTTTAATATCATTTCATTTATTGACAAGAGGGTATTATAATATTTTTATGCGAACATGGGATATTTGCAACAAATTAATTGTATAAGGGAGTTTTATACCACAAAGAAACTTTTGTGCATTATATTGATAATAGATAAGTTTTTTTTTTGTACTTAACACTTAATCCTATATACAATTAAATGCAAACAATATACGCACTGTATTGTTTTGATGAACACTAGCATTTTGAATGAAGCGCAGTATATACGAGCACTATGGTCATGTAAACGCGTACGGACACGTCTGCACATCCACGAACAATGTTACTCACACAAGGTATGAATCTTGACTCTATTGTTTATGTTAACTCTCTGGGTTAAAAAGTTAAAACAAACAAACAAACAAACTGATCAGTTGATCTACAAGATCAAACTTAAGTGTTCAGTTTGAATTGGTTCATATTGTTTATGTGCACTCCCTAGGTTAAAACAAATTTCTGTAACAGCATCCTCATGATGATTGAATTTTCATTATAAACAAACATGTATATGAACTCTATAACATGTTACTGACTTCTTTGAATCCTGTTAGATCTCGAACTTCATAAAAATGAAGTCGTGTTAGAAAAAACCTTCCAAAAACAAGTCCAACACTTGAACAAATAAATAACACGTGTTCAAGATCAGAAATCATAACTTCATAGCCAAAGATCATGTTTGATAACCCAATTCATGAGCTACTTGAGATCCTATAAGACAACCCAACACATTAACATGATAATAACAGTTTGAAAATGTCGAACTGAAACTATGTTAAGCTTTCCATAGCAAATCATAGATGCTTATCTCTACTTTGGATTGCAATCCCTGCAGATACATTTCCGAGCCTTTTAGATAATAAACAACGAGAACAATAAATAATCACTAGAAATTGTTTCCCTCTCAACCAGTAGACATGGGACTCGGAATTTTTTTATTTCTTTTTTAAATAACTAAAGAATCACTAATTCAACGGTTGCGGGTAATCTTGTTTTTAGCTGCCTGGCATGCTTTCTAGCAACTTCCATCCTGTACAGTTTCGGTGAATGATACAAACTACGGGGATCAATAATTATCTTCTCCAGTGATGCAGCAACTTCAAGTATATGCAAGACGAGATCAACTTCGGGGTTGCTACTCCCATCAAACCCAACAAATTCCACCACCTTAAGGCAATGATGATGACATTTAGTTGCCTCTTTTACAGCATTTATATATGCACTTTGATCAGGCCTTATAAACTGCCAGAATCACAAGAGAAGGCATTATTTGCAGACAAGGTTAAGAATATAACAAACTCTTACACCAATACTAATTTGTAATTTTCAGTACTTTTCTATTAAGCGGTCCCAGATGCATCTGCCATAGAGGAAGATAATCAGATAAAAACTTGTTTAAAAGGAAGACCAGATAAAATAAATAAGAACAAACTACACAGTGAATAGGAACTAGAATAGTTGGTCGACACGGGAAGATTTGGTTAAAAGTATATTGCATTTTGTCAGATGTGATAGGAGCCAGTTGTAACATACCAAATTTTCTTTTTCTCGATAATTTTCTTAAAAAATCAACAAATGACCTTGTTTTTACATTCCCATTGTGATTAAAGTGCTCATCTGTCCCCCACAATGACGAGGGTTAGAGTTCTGAAATCAGCCTATCCACCTCTTCCAGACCTAGTTAAACGTAGGGGCCATGCATACTGGGTACGACCTCTTTTTTTCTTTTTCTTTTTTCAATGGTGAATCAAGTTATGCAATTGGGTTATGCAACAAACTATTGTCATCAAAAGCAATGACACAAACTAATGTCGGACAGTTTTCTCGACATATCCCTGGAATAGGTCAATCATATCGGTTCAATTCGAGAAGACCCATTTCTTATTTATTTTTTTATTTTTATAAAAAAAACGGAAACAAACAATTTCAGACATCCGTAGCCACTACAAAATTTAACAACTACTCATCCATCTTGCATTTGTAACACCAATTTACAAAGATTTGTTGCCTCTTTCTTGTCAGTAGTCAAGATCCTACCAAAACAACTGTCCCCCCCCCCCCCCCCCCCCCCCCCCCCACCAAAAAAAAAAAAAAAACCACCACCACCTAAAGGGAACCTTTGGTAATAAGCCAAACTGCCCTGCTAGGAATGGATATCAACATGGTATCAGAGCATGATTTGTAAAGCTTTAAGTTTGTGGTTGAAACCTAGGGCAAGTTTGTATAAACCCGGGTGTGAAGGGTTTTGAAGAGATTCCAAGATGAGATTTGTTTGCAAGGAAGTAGCGTCAATCACATCCACACGTACCGTGGATCCACTCTATGCCTTCCATAGCTTATAATAATTTGTGATGATTGTATGGTTGCTTTTTCTATACATCTCAGAAGACGGTAATCTTTTTAGAAGTTTGTGCGTTAGAGAGGTGGTTTTCTACGTATTTTGTTGCTGTTTTTGTTTCTGAGGATTGTATACCCAGAAATTGTTTGATAAAATGTCTGGCTTAAAGGTGACTTCAAAAGAAGTTGGGTCTTCTCCTAGTCTGACTCCAGTATTGGGAGATAATAGTGATCACCATCCAGGCCTTTGTATTATGACTGTTAGGCTGGATTAGACGAACTATATAGAGTAGGCTCAATCTACTCGTATGCATATCACTGGTCGTAGGATGATCGACCATATCGAAGGGACTATCGCGTATCCCTCCAAGAGCGATCCTGAATTCAAAAAGTGGAGTGCAAATAATGCACTAGTTATGACGTGGTTGTTGCAATCCATGCAGCCACAGATCAGCAAAGGGTTTCTGTTTGTGAAAACAACTAAAGAGCTATGGACGACTGTGGAAGAGACGTATTCCTCGGTTGGTAATTTTGTAAAACTGTATGAACTCTAACAACAAATTTCAAGATTCAAGCAGGAAGACCAAACTCTTGCTACATATTACCACATTCGACGTGGTAAATGGGAAGAGTTAGATCACTACCAAGACTACACACCTGTGTGTGCAGCTGATGTTAAAGCATTTTATGCTATGGTAGAAAGGAATCGAATCTATGAGTTCTTTGGTGGTCTGCATCTAAGATATGAGCATGCTAGGGTACAAGTGTTAGGCAAGTATCCAACCCCTACTTTTGTTAGATATGTGTTTTCGTATATCCAGGCTGAGGAGAGTAGAATGAAGGCTATGTCTGCACCTGTATACACTAAGCCTGAGCCAGAAGTTCCATTGTCTAAGAGGTCTGCTCTTGCCATACAACAATGGAACAAGCCTAATCCTCTAAAAGGAGGGAAACAGGTTGACAAAAGCAAGTTGAGGTGTGATCACTGTGGGCATACGCGCCACACTAAGGAAACATGCTAGAATCTACACGGTCGCCCTACTCTAGCTCCTGCTAATGCGAATGCTAGGCCAAGGCCTGGTCTATTTAGGGGGTTATCTACGGCACATACTGCAGAGCGTGAGACTGCTTCTATTGGTCATGCCTCCTCAGGGCCACCGAGTTCTTTGTTCGGCGCTGAACTTGATGCTCTCCGACATTTACTAGCACAACATTCCTCCGTTTCCACCTCTAACTTCGCACAGACAAGTACCTCTCATTCAGCACATCAGGTTTCCACATTATCTGGTGGACCACCCTGGATCATTGATTCAGAAGCCACTGATCACATGATTGGTATGACATCTGATTTTTCTTCATATAGTTTATGTCTTTGTAAGGACAAGGTTAGAGTGGCTGATGGAACCTTTGCCTCCATTGCAGGGAAGGGCACTGTTTCTGCCTCTCCTAATCTTACCTTATTCTCTGTTCTTCATGTCCCAAAGTTTACCAATAACCTCCTTTTTGTCAATCACATTACAAAAGGCTTGAATTTTAGTGTAACCTTTTTCCATCTCACTGTGTGTTTCAGGACTTCGACACGGGGAAGACGATAGGAAGTGGACTTGAGGACAATGGCTTGTTTTTGCTGAACGCGAGGCCAACTTCTTTTTATGTTGCAAATCAATCTAGTGTTAGGAATAGTAATGTCAATAAAGATCTGTTAACACGATGGCATAATAGACTAGGTTATTTACCTCTTCCTGTTTTGAAGAATGTGCTTCCCCAGTTTGCTTATGTTGAATCTTTTGAGTTAAATTGTGAAACATGCGTTCTTGCCAAACAATGTCGTCTTTCTTATCCTACTAGTATTGATAAAAATACAGCTCCTTTGTAGTTTGTTCATTCTGATGTGTGGGGTCCTGAATCTACTACTTCGTTACTTTTTTGTGTTTGTTGATGACTTTAGTCGATATACTTGGCTTTATCTTATGAAACCAAAGATGAAGTTCATTCCATTTTTAAAACCTTTCATGGGATGGTATGTACTCAGTTTGGTTGTCTCCTCAAAATCCTTTGATCTGATAACGAATGAGAGTTTATGTATGGTGGCCTTGCCTCCTTTTTTGCTAATAACAGGATTGTCCATCAAACCTCTTGAGTCGATACACCACAACAAAACAGTGTAGCCGAAAGAAAACATTGTCATATTACGGAGGTGATCCGTTCTCTTCTAATTGGGATGGGACTGCCTAAAAGTTATTGGGCTGATGCAATCTTAACAACTATATACCTTATCAATCGCATGCCTTCTAAGGTTCTTGGCTATCAATCCCCCTTCTCTGTCTTACACCATGACACTGCCTTGTTTAATGTCCCTCCGAAAGTGTTTGGTTATGTTTGTTATGTTCACATTCATCATCACAAGGGCAAAATGGACCCTAAGGCAATCCGATGTGTCTTTCTTGGATACTCCGTCACTCAAAAAGGGTATCGATGTTATAACCCTACCACTCATTGTCGCTTTGTCTCCATGGATGTTACATTTTTTGAGTCTGTTCCTTTTTCCACTGCTCGGGATTCTTTACAAGAGGAGACTACTATACAAGTAGAGAATAAGTCGTCCATTCAGAGGGAATGACCTTTCTTTGCCTGTTCCCATTCAGGAGGAGCTTCTTACTGAGGTGCCTTTGTCTAGTCCTCCTAACACTAATGATTTGTAGCAGGGAAAGCAGCCAATTGTCTCCACTAGGAGGGCAAAACAAGTTATTGACTCACCCCAGGACCAAGAAGTCTCTCTCGATCCAGGTAATTCCTTAGTTGACATTGATATTGCTGATTCTTTTCCCAATAGCATTCCTATTGATCTTGATATCCCTATTGCCTATCATAAGGGTGTTCGTAGTTGTACAAAGCATCCCATATCTAAGTTTGTATCCTATAATGCCTTATCCCCAACATATCGTGCTTTCACTTTGTGTATCTCCTCTGTATCTGTTCCTCCTAGTGTTTCAGATGTTCTCAGTCAAACTCTATGGAAGAAAGCTATGCTTAAAGAAATGAAGGCCCTTGAGAAGAATGGTAATTGGGATATTGTTCCATTACCTAGGGGTAAGAAACCAGTAGGCTGCAAATGGGTCTACACAACAAAGTATCATGCAAACGGAACAATGGAGAGTTATAAAGCTCGGTTAGTTACAAAGGGCTTCACTCAGACCTATGGAATTGATTATCTGAAAACATTTGCCCCAGTTGCCAAGATGAACTCTAAACGTGTTCTTTCTTTGGCAGCTAATTTGAATTGGCCCTTACATCAGCTGGATGTAAAGAATGCTTTCCTTCATGGTGACTTGGAGGAAGAGGTGTATATGACTATGCCACCAGGGTTTAAGCTTGCTAATGGTCAGAATTTAGTGTGCAAGCTAAATAAAGCTTTGTATGGGTTAAAACAGTCGCCACGTGCTTGGTTTGAGAGGTTCAACAGTACTGTGAAAAGAGTAGCATACACACAGAGTCAGGCAGATCATACTCTCTTCATCAAGAAGCACCAGGGCCGCACCATTGCCCTTATTATATATGTTGATGATATTGTTATCACTGGAAATGATTTAGAAGAGATTCGTTGAATGAAGTCATTCTTGGAGACAGAGTTCGAGGTTAAAGACCTTGGATCATTAAGATAATTTCTTGGCATCGAGGTGTGCAAATCGAAGAAAGGGGTGTTCATTTCTCAACGGAAGTATGTGTTAGATTTGTTGGCTGAAACAGGTAGGCTTGGAGCTAAACTGATTGATATTCCCATTGAACAGAACCATAAGCTTAATGATGTAGATGGAGACCAATTAGATGATGTGGGAAGATTTCAGCGATTGGTTGGGAGACTGATTTACTTATCTCTCGCGCGCCAGCATATTGCCTACGTTGTTAGTGTGATTAGTCAATGTATGCATGCTTCACGCACACCTCACCTTGAGGCAACTCATCATGTTCTTCGCTACCTCAAGGGTTCACCTGGTAAGGGGATATTGTTTGGCAGCCATGGCCACTTGCGTGTTGAAGCCTATACTGATGCTGATTGGGTAGGGTCTGCGACAGATCGACGATCTACTTCAGGATATTGCACATTTGTTGGAGGTAATCTTGTTTCATGGCGAAGCAAGAAACAATTTGTAGTAGTTAGATCTAGTGCAGAGGCTGAGTTCAGATTCATGGCACATGGAATCTGTGAGTTGTTATGGCTACGTACGATGTTGGGTGAGTTGGGTTATCCTATTCGCGAGTCAATGAAGTTGTATTGTGACAACAAGGCTGCTATTAGCATTGTCCACAATCCAGTTCAACATGACAGGACAAAGCACATTGAAGTCGATCGACACTTCATCAAGGAAAAGCTTTGTCTTGGGCTGATTTGTACTCCATACGTCAATACACATGATCAAGTTGCTGATGCTTTAACTAAGGGTGTGAGCAAGACTTGCTTGCAAAATATGTTAGTCAAGCTGGGCAAGATAGACATCTTTGCACCAGCTTGAGGGGGAGTGTTGTCAGGGGCTTATGTGTAATTTCTGAAACTTGTTATTATAAATAGAATGCGGTGGATGAAAGCCTTCTTTCTCTCTTTCCCCATCTCTCTCTTTTTTTCTCTCATCCGCTTTCTTCTCTTTTTTTTCTTCTTCTTTATCACTTACTTTTGATTTGATTATATCTTAAAGTTAATACACACCTCAAACTACCTTGCCTAGAATCCTCCCAAACCCATCCACCTCCCCAACCACCCTCTGACGATACAACGCCGCCATGAATTCAACGTCTTCCTTCTCCCAATCCTGAAGTGATCTCACAAACTGCAACTCCCAAGTCGTCCATTTGCTATGAAGGCAATAAAAAACAACTACCAAGACTGTCAAAGCATGACCATCTAAAGATATCCAAAACAACCTCGGGAAAACACTTGCTATTGGCCTATCCCCACACCATGGATTAGACCAAAACCTATTCTGCCTCCCACATCTCACCCAGAACCGGGTATGTTTGGAAAATTCAATGCCCTCCCCCAAATTCAAGAAAAAAGTTTAAATAACAAGGGACTTATATTTGCTGTCTTACCTATGCAATTAGTGGCCAAACTTCAACTTCATAGCAAAATTCACTCTTTTCCAATAACATTACAACGATATCCAACCAAATAATGAGTCCTATTTACAGGTTTTATCATAAAGAATAATAATAAAGACAAAAACTACTTACCAAAAAGAAAAAGAAAATAAAGTTATAGAACTCTTCAGACCCAACACTAAAAGAAATAAAACGGCAATACGATAGCTTGGAGCCATTATCCTTTGTGCAATGGTAAAAGACCAAGCTGATAGATGTGACCTCTGTTTTAAGGCTAAGATAACCACTTCATTTATTAATGTGACAGGTCAGATTTTTGCATGCAATCTGCCTTACCAACACCTTACATTGGTGGCTATGAGATGAGCCTTTTCAATTCTAAAACCATTGCTACTTTGATGCAAGAAGATGAAACAATTTTATTTATATAATCCCTAAACTTATATAAGTGCAATTAGTACATGCATACACAGAATTTTGCTGCTTGCGAGGTCCAACAACCAAATGACCATGCAAATGTCCAATTAATGAATAAACAATAAAGAGTAAGGCGGGAATCCCATGTTCAGATTTATCATGAAATTCTCATTGAAAGCTAGCTCCCTATAATTATCAATTTTATCACTATATACTTAGCATTAGGTACAATTTAATTTTATTTAGGTAATAACTTATTGATGTTGTTCAAATTCTAGTAGCATGTTTCAAGACTTCCAACTTTTTTTTTTTTTCATTTGTAATCAGATATTAATCACATGAAAACACATTGGAGCAGAGAAGTTAATCAAGATAAAGAGTGGTAGGATCAATGAATCTCTTTATAAAATAATGTTTACATTCTGATGATATATTCCTTCTCTCTTTTCTTTTCCTTAATTTCCTTTTTCATAATTGAGGACAATTTAAGATATGTGCCTCTTTCTTTCAAATTCTTATATTTCTCAGCCTCTTATCCCATTCCAATCTCTCTGTCTACTTTTCCCTAACTTTTGATGCATAGCTATGGTAAATTCAGAAGGCCTCCACTAAAGATTTACTCAGGTTACTCATCGTATAAGCTCAAAGCCACAAAGCCACATCTTTATCAAAATAAAGGGTGTATTTGGAATATTATTTTTTATGAATGCCTTACTTTCAATTGTTATCTTCTTCATCTTCATCTTGTTCTTTAAATTTAAATTGGGTACAGCAAAATATCAAGTTCGATATATTTCCTCTTTAAAGTTGTTGATGAGAATTTATTTGCAGAAGCAGAGTGGCAGGGTGATGGTCCCTTTCACCTCCACAGCCTCATCAACAAAGATCTTATATTCTATCATATGCGTCTATGCTTTCACCTCTCCCTCTCTTCTTCTTCTATCTCTTCATTTAAAGTTTAGTTAAAATCATACACGTAATTTAAAAATAATAATAAAATCAATCAATAATAATACTTCTATCAGCAAACATACCTTAAATTACAAAGAGATGATACTTACCCGAACAGAAAACTCAGACAAATTAGGAGATGCCTTAATCACAGAAGTCAAACCAATAAGGCTGTCACCACCATTTCCTATGAAAAAAATTTGCACTTCCTTGAGTACCTAGCTTGCAGCAATACTTGGGGAGCATATGATATTGCTAACAAAAAGAAAACACAAGTTGATAATGATGATGCAACAAACAAAACCCAAAATAATAATAATAATAATAAAATAAAAATCAAGTAATGATTGTGTATTCTAACCACATAAAATGCTAACTTGAGCTTTTCTATTTGAGGAATATAGCTGGAATGCTTGTAAGATCTAGAAACAAAGGACGTAGAGAATTGTCCCCCAATAGATAGCTCAGAGAGTAGAGGAACGTTCTTAAAATGCACACCTATATCTTTTCCCCAATAAGTGAATGAAACAAGATTTATAGCAGAAATTTCCAGATTTTCCAAATGCCAGCAATGAGATATCTCTAAGCACTTCAACTTGAGTGATGGACCAGCAATTTTTAGCTTCACTAGATAAGTTGTACCCACAATGCCTAATTGTTCAAGAAATGGACAGTTGGATAGGAAATTCTCAAGCACCTCCCCCATGATATTAACACCAACCAAACGAAGGGCTCTAAGGGAACAAAAGCCAGCTGCAGAACCAATAGTCCATGACACATGATGACTGTGTGAAGTCCTACAGAAGAATTTGAAGTTTTCCATGCTAGGAAGATGGTAAAAATGATGCCAATGACCGGGAGTAACGCCACCAAACACATCCAATTCAAACCTTTGAACACCCTTTTCCAATGCAAACTTAATCCAATCATATAGATATCGTGAGGGTACTGCCCATGGAAATCAAAAGAAATCCTCATTTCGTCTATACAGGGGCCAAGATGCAATTTCAAGACTTCACTAACCCAACTTACATACGTAGTACGCTTTTCGTCAAGTTTATGTGATGAAGTATCATCCATCGCAGGAACTCTCATTCGTGTCTTTGAATGAAAGTTGAAACGACAAGTATGCATTTCATCAAATTTAGGTGATGAAGTACCATCCTCTGCAGAAGCTCTCAGTAGTGTCTTCGAATCAAAGTTGAAACTACCAGTTACATATCTCCAAAAATATCTCCATCTGCGTGAGAAAATACTAGTACATGCAGCTTCCTTAAGCGTCAAAAGAGACAGGATGGCAATAAGGATTTCATCTGGCAATCCACTAATTCCATCCTTTTTCATATGCTGCTCTTTTATCTGAAGTGAACATCCAAATAATCATAAACACAATAAAAGGAAACATCTTCGACAAAAAAATGGAAACCACTACTCTATTAATATATTTAAGGACCAACATACATACATTCGGAGATGAACGAGTATTTATACACGAAAAAAAAAAGAGAGCATTTTTTAAACTTAAAAGACGAAAACAATGACCAAAAGAACATCATAAGAGTTTGTTTCCGGTTGTCTAGGTAATCAATGAATCTTCTTTTGGTGTGTAGAAGAGACAAACACCCATTGTTAGGACTCAAACCTGAACTTCCCACGTGGGAGGAAGAGTTGAGACCAGTGAAGTTAAACGCTCGATAGTTGTGAATGAAATTTGTGTAATAGTTTTGGCTTCCATTGATTATTATTTTGTTTTCAAATGTAAAGGAAAATTCGGATTAACAGAGACCCTACAAAGATGTGATTATAAAGTTTTGGGTTATGGTGTACCTTAGGCACATATGATCATGGGTCTTGAGATGGATAAAGAATATATAGTTACGTATTACTTATCAATATATATATATATATAGTTGCGTATCATGATGAGGTATAGTTACCTATTACTTATCAATATATATATATATATATATGGGCAAAGTGCAGAAAATCCCCCTCGACTTGTAACATTTGCTAATAAACCCCCCTCAACTTGTAGCCCTTTCCAATAAATCCCCCTTGTCTATTTTTTACCAAAGAACCCCCCTCAACTATCGAAGGGGAGTAAAAGAGTTGAAATTTGGACCAAAATGCTCTTTTATTTAAATCTTAATTTTCTCAAACTTCAAAAATTCGTATCTCACAAACCGTACATCCAAATATTGCAAATAATATATGCACGGAAAGCTTATAAAACAAGGATTCCAGAAATATAAGATTAGTTTAACAAAAATTCATAACCAGAGAAATAGACAATCTAAAAATCTACAGCAACAATCTTATTTTATTTTATTTTTAATAAAAATGCTCGGGTTATTTGCAAGAAAATTTTCAGAATTATTCATTTTCATATGGAGCATAACATATAAAAAAAATTAGCCCCAATAAAGACCGAATATTTTTTTTTTTATTTATTTTTAAATAGTGAGCCAATAAAAGAATGAAATACTTTGACGAAATAACAACTCTTTTACCCCCATCTTTGGTAAAAAATTATACAATGGGGATTTATTGGAAAAAGGCTACAAGTCAGGGGAGTTCTTTGGTAAAAAAAATAGACAAGGGGGGATTACTGGAAAAGACTACAAGTCAAGGGGGTTTTCTGTACTTTGCCCTATATATATATAGTTACGTATCATGATAAGGATTACACATGGCACAGTGTTATCAAAGGCCCAAGGCATGCTAGGCGCTAGAGGTCCTTTGGAGTCTAGGTACAAGGCAAGGCACAAAATTGAAAAATTAAATTACTATTAAAGCATATCCATATTCCATATTAAAGGCGCAAAAATTGTAAAAGACTCTTTAATGGGAGGATTCTCATCAATTTTTTTATCTACATATGTACAACCTTGGTCCCCACCCTCACACGATATGCTCCATCTGGTAGATTTGCCCATTTAAGAAGCATGAGTGAAAAATGTAGAGGGTGGAAGGCCAAAGCTGTGGTGGAATCTTTCTCGCTCAAATCTATATATTGAAGATCAAAGCAGATTACAGCACTTTCAAGTTTCTTGCCTTCAGAATTATTTAGTCAATGGTATGAAGTTTTATTGTACTTGTTCAAAATATGAGTTTCCCAAATTAGGTTCCTTGGTCAAGTTTTATCGTACTTGTTCAAAATATGAGTATTGTTTCGCAGACAGTGTTGTTAAAGATGTGCTTAGGCTCCTGGCATCTATAAGTGCAACAATTGCGCTTGTTGTGTGCCCAAGTGCGCCTTTGAAAACATTTGCGCCTTTAATATTTTATATGAATATTCTTTAAAACTAATTAATTTTTCACTTTTGTCCCTCGCTTCACTCAGGCATATGCCTTGCGTTTCGCCTAGGCTCCTCTAATGCCTTAGTGCACTTTGGGCCTTTGTTAACACTGGTGACTGATTAAATGAGACTTTTCTCCCGTATCTTCAAAGACTCCTTTAGAATTGTAATGGCATTAGTAGCACACTGTGACCTAGGGTTAGACCAAATGGTTGTGTAAATACATAAATGCATAATTTAATCTATATTATGCAGGTCATTATTCATAGTATATAAAACAATGGGTCTTGTATTGTTTTTGACTAATAAATATAACATGTTAACAATTTTTTGCATGGGTATTGGGTAATCTGGTAAGTCTATGTGCATATTCCTATGGTATAATATTTTATAGCATTCCCGTGGAAAGCTATTTGGCGCTCTAAGGCTCCTCTCAAGCTGGCCTTCTTTGCTTGGACATCGGTACTGGGGAAGATTTTGACTCAAGATAATCTGAAGAGGAGACAGGTTGTGATCAATTGTTCTTGCATGTGTTTGAGAAATGAGGAAACTGTTGATCATCTTCTTTTGCATTGCCTTATAGCTTGGGACTATTGGGTTATGATGCTTTGTTCGGGGTCCAATGGGTTATGCCCAGGTCTTCCAGAGGTTTGGTAGAGGCTGGAGAGGTTGTATGCGTCTGGTGGTGCTTATGACTTGAAAGAAATAGGCGATCTTTTGAAGGAAAGGAGACCCCTATTGGCATGTTAAAGTTGTCCATTATTACTACTCTTTTTTGTTGGGTTTTTGGAAGAAATTGTAAATCCATGGATGAGATTGTTGATTTGTTGGGCTCTTTGAGAGTATAGAGGCCCTTTTAGGTCTTGTGTTGTTTCAGAGGGATGCGTCCCCTTTTGAACGCTTTTTTCCTACATCTTTACTTATCAAAAAAAAAAAAAAAACTATGTCATGGTCTTAAATTTCTTTATTCCCATTTAAGAAAGATTTAATAATACACAAATCCTTGATTAGTTTAAATAATAACCTCTCTCTTGGTTTATTAATATTATGCATTGGACTTGGTGATGGATTTGAGGCTAACCTACATGCGTCACTATTGGCTTTGCCCACATGCTTGTTTGCTTACTATTATGCTTTTTTGCCTTGTATAGTATCATTTATATTCATTATATATTAAAGCACGTTAAAGTATAATGGTAGTACAGTTTTTTTTTGCATATGACAGTGATAACATTTATACAAAGATTTGATCTTGTTTCGAGAAAATTATACTAGATTGGTTGGGTGGTGTTGCCAAAGTGGTTCTCATTCATGAGATTTATACATTTATATGAAGATTTGATCCCATTTTAAGAAAATTCTACTAGGTTGGTTGAGTGGTGTTGCCAAAGTGGTTCTCATTTGATTTTTTTAGTTCAAAGGTTATTTGGATCCAAAATTGTATTTTTAGACTATAACAAATAATAACCGTCCAAATGAGATTTTTATTTGGTTCAATTAAAAAATGTCACATTGCAATGTATAAATGTTGTTGCGAGAAATAACCACAAACTAAGAAACAATCACGAAACACGACAGAAAATAAACACGCAACACAGAAAGAACACAAAAGTAAGCATGCATCCACGATGGAGATTCGCTGAAAGATTTAACTATGCAAGAAAAAAAAAAATGAGATTACAAGTTCTTTTCTACGATTTTTAGTATCTAAGAATCCAGGCACGGTATAAAATGTTGTTGCGAGAAACAACCACAAACTAAGAAACAATCACGAAACACGACAGAAAATAAACACGCAACACAGAAAGAACACAAAAGTGAGCCTACATCCACGATGGAGATTCGGTGAAAGATTTAACCATGCAGGGAAAAAAAATTGAGATTACAAGTTTCAGTCCCCAAAGGGCCAAACTCTAGCAATCGCTCTCTTTTCTGCGATTTTTAGTATTTAAGAATCCAGGCACGGACCCACAATAGGACCAGGACCAGTGGGGGCATCCGCACTAAATTTTTTATTTTTTCATTTTATAATTTAATTTTTTGGGAATTTATGAATATGCCCCCACTAGAAATACAATTCGCCCCCACTAGAATTCTTATTTTGCATTTTATACTTCAAATGTTTGGAAATTTATGAAGATGCCCCCACTAAAATTTCAATTCTCCCCTATACTTCAAATGTTTGGAAATTTATGAAGATGCCCCCACTAAAATTTCAATTCTCCCCCACTGGAATTCAATTTTTTTGCATTTTATACTTCAATGTTTTGAGAATTTATGAAGATGGCCCAACTGAAATTACAAAAATGGACCCACTATATAAATTTGCCCTCACAAATTAAAGTACGTCCAAAATTTTCTGGGTCCGTCACTTTCAGAATCTCTCACTTCAAACCTAAAAGCCCTTATATTTTAGGCTACAAGAGAATACTAAATAAGGTTCATAACCCGTCGTTGGACCCGAAACCAAATTTGGGCCACAACCTCACAGTGTATAAATTCGAAGATTCCTTTGCCAAACGTTTTTAAATTTTTATACATTTGCATTCTTATATATTGGCTTTGGCTTTCTAATGAAGTGTCAAAAATTACTGCATATTACATTCTCACACAAAGGAGAGGGTATATTGATGCATTTGGAATTTTATAGGGCTTGACTTTTGATTAAATTAGCTTTTTTCATTACTCTAATTGTAAATAAAAAAGCATGTTTTGTTATGTCTCAATAGTCATGAAAGCTTCTAATATGAATACAAACTTTTCTTCAATCTAGACATTGACTAAGACCAATTTTAAGAAATGGAAACAAGACCTACATATTGTTCTTAGGTTCATAGATCTAGCCCATAACAATATGGAAGATAACCTCCTAAGCCGACTGAAAATAGCTCTTATGAACAAAGAGAAAAATACAAGAAATATAGGGAATGGGAGCGAGCTAATTGCATGTCTATTGATGAAAAGGTCTATCTGACACTATCTGTGGGCGAGTTCTTGAGTGTTGCAAAACAATCTCATGATGCCGCGAGACAAAAGTTTGTAAAATCATATAAGGCTTAAAATATAGACCTAACAAACAAGTATGAGGTATAAAATGGTAATGGATATAGATTCTAGATGTTCCCACCTCCGATCCTTTCCTAGTTGAATTGGCTCTCAATTCTCTTCCACTCCAATATGGACAGTCTATTCCTACCATCCAAGTTAGTTTTGAGACTAACTTAAGTGGTGTCATTTCTGATTTATGGTGGATTGACAATGTACCTTCTATTCATGTTACTCAATCTTTACCGGGGTTTTATATGTCAAACAACACCAAATAAAGATGAAGTAAATGTGTTCGTAAGAAATACTCCCTCTGTCCCAAAAAGAATGTCCATTTTTCCTTTTTGGGTTGTCCCAAAATAATTGTCCACTTTCCTTTTTCAAACAATATATATTACATCTTTTCATATATATCCTTAGAGTTTAAAATTTCAAACTTGAATATTCAAAACTTAAAAAGACAAGTTAGTAACTTTCCAGGAGGGACAATACATATGGCTCACATGTCCCCTTAAAATTTTCTACTCCCCAAAAAGGACATTCTTTTTGGGACAGAGATCGTAACATGAAAGTTGCAAGTTGTAGTGAGTCCACAAGGAGTTGTTAGGGTTCAGTGAAAAGTTATTTAATTTAAGTGTCTAAGATGTCTGATATTCTTTTGAATCTAACAAAAGTGAATTTTGGTTGATGGATTATATAAATTGTGTTCAATCCTTTATAGCTTTAAGTATGGAAAATGATGTTTGAGTATAAAATTCATCCATATTTTGATTTAAACAATTATGTTATAGGAAAGAATTGAACACTTAATAAAAGACAAAGGGTAAATTACACTTGCCTCCCCTGAGGTTTGCTATAAGAACACTGTGTTCCCCTGTGGTTTTCAGAATAACACTGAGCTCCCTTGAAGTTCATACTTTTGTAACAGTTTCCCCTTGCCATCATGGTCAATGACGGTCAATGTTGTTTCTTGATGACATCATCAAAATAAAATTTCTAAAAGGCAATTCTACCCTTATAATATAACTGAAAACACAATTGTCCAATTAATGTCTTCTGAAATTACATGTCTACAATCACTTGCCCTCTCATTCCAATTGTCCATTCTCACTTTTATTCTTCTACCTTGTAGAAACTCTAAGCTTGTACCCATCACAGGCTACCACTCCACCACCTTTTATGGCAACCTTCATCGACTAATAAGCTCATATCCACCACACAAAAAAAGAAAAAGAAAAGGGGGCTCTGTTTCTCTCTCTAAAACTCTCTAATCAATCACACCCCAAAAACATAAAAAAATAAAATAAAAATCTTCAGCTCAGCCACACCACGCCACCACCACTGTATGCAACAATCAAATTCTTGCATCTTGAGTAACTTATTTTTGAAATTCTACTGTTTCTTTTAAACTTTCCTCAAACTTAGACCTCTTTAATCCACAGCTCCAAATTGAATATCAACATATTCTCTTTAAGGAACTAGATATTGCAACTGATTCAAATATTAAAATAGAATTGAAAATTAATAGAGGTTGGCTAAAAGAGACCGTCATTTACTAATACAAAGATGGCTTTAGCAGGTATGTTTAAATGAATACATTTATAATAGTGTCTTATAGCACGTGTATGAAGTTTTATTGTACTTGTACAAAATATGAGTTTTCCAAATTAGTTTTCAATTTGAACTCCAAAAAAAAAAAAATGTTGAAACAAAAATTATTTTTTTTCATGACAACAATTAATTTATGCGGACGTTTCGTTTGGAATGGAAAGAACTCACCTTTTGTTCATTGAAAGAAGAGGTACACCGTGCTATCTTCCTCCTTTTAATCGTAAAGTTGTCTATGCCTTCCATAGTTTATAATAATTTAAGTTACGACTGCAAAAACAAAGAGCACAATCACAAAACAACAGAAATCATGTATCACTGTAAAGATTGAGACTTTGTGAAGCACAAAAGGAAAATCCAAGTAACCAATTGCTACCAGATTAAGATTGAGATTTTGTATACCTGCTTTTCTAGGACCATTCAAAGATATGGCCCAATATATCTGGCAAGTCGCGCTATACGTCAACCCAAGATGCGTCTTCCTCTCCAGGACTTCGAAAAGGTACTTTTGGAACACCAATAGGCATTAAATGAAAGAAAAAAGAACTAAGTACTATATTTCACTTTGATGTGGAAACGTAACAATTTGTTTATTGTCTTTATAATATGGGTCTTTATCATATTTTAGCCATAAATTAGAAAATTTCATAAAGGAAGACAGAATGAATAAAGGAAAATTATTACAAATAGGTCTTTCCAATGATGAACAAGTATGGACGTATTCGTTCATAGGAAATGATATTAACCCCCCATTGCGTATTGGTACTTATCGAGTATAGAATAAATCTGCTTCTCTTTGTTCCTACGAACAGAATTGTTCCATTATTACCAACAGAATCGAAATCTCCCCTTATTTGCTTTCGCCTAGAAAAAATAATTTATGTTATTACTGCAAAAATAAAGAGCACAATCACAAAACGACAGAAATCATGCCATCACTGTAAAGATTGAAACTTTGTGAAGAACAAGAGGAAAATACAAGTACCCAATTCTCTCTGTTCGTCTTTCAATGGTGTCTCTTGCCACCACCAAAAATCCTAGCAAGCACCCTTGTATACCTGCTTGCTGCTAGGATAGATTTTTGCTTTCGCCCTAAAAATAATAATAATAAATAACAATAATTCAGAAGTTGTAAAATCAACAAATTGGAAAACGAACACAAAAAAAAAAAATATATATATATATATATATATATATATATATACGTGCGCTGAGATTTATTATAGATCTAGAGAGAGAACTTACCCACAGGGGATTGGATTGAGAAAATCGGCACCTGGAAAACAAGGAGAATCAGACTCAATCCCATGTCTGGAAGGAAAATTTGAATGGGCCGGTAAAAGCCTCGTGCACTCGTGAAGAAGTTCAAAAGTTATGGATGTATGTGTATGGATGACAGAGGGGCGAGAGCCGAATAGGCTATGGCACACACCCAAGCCAAACAAGCCATGGGACAAAAAGGCCCAAGCCTAATGAATAATAAACTCGTCAGTCCTAAACATATATATACCAAACTCGTCAGTCCTATATATACAAAAATAAAGAGTATGTACATAGGGGCTTGCCAACAACAAAGCCCAAATTAAGGAAGTTGTGGAACACTGTCCAACAAAGCAATTGGACCAGAACAGAAGCCCGTTTCTCGCCTTCGTCAAAGTGACGGTGGTTAAAAAATGCCCTGGGATCAATTGTAATATTAATTGTTTTTTATTAAAATAAAAACAAATTTGGTATTAACAAAATTTCATTAATCCCGTCATTTGAGAGAGAGCAAAGGTGGTATTTTAGGCCCCCGGAGGCTTGGCTTAGTTGGTAGGTGCTTGGCACTAGCTCACACTAGGCCAGTGTTCAATTCCTGCCAACCCCATCATCACCCCCGACTTACCCGGTGTATCCTTGGGACGAGGCTCTGCACCCCTGGGTTTGTAATCTAGGGTGGGTCCCGAAGGGGTCCTGCCTAAGGGAGTTTCTGGTGCTAAAAAAAAAAAAAAAAAAGGTGGTATTTTAAGATGAGGGTGTATATATATACTTTCACACAAGTTTTAGTAGACAAAAATGTCTTTATGGACATTTCGTCATTTTAATCTTACTAATTGTCTCAGCGTTGAAAAGATTAATGTAGAAAAGTATCTAAATTTTACCATTTCCTATGAAATCTAAATTCACATGACAAATTGATCAGTTGATCTACATGATCAAACTAAATTGTTTAGTTTGAATTGGTTCGTATTGTTTATGTGAACTCCCTAGGTTAAAACAAATTTATGTAACAGCACCCTCGTGATTGAATTTTCATTCTAAACAAACAATGTATCCATTAATTAAGAATTAACTCTATAACATGTAACTGACCTCTTTGAATCCTACTTAGATCTCGAACTTCATAAAACATGAAGCTTATGTTAGAAAAAGAACCTTCCAAAAACAAGTCCAACACTTGAACATAATAATAACACTCTGAAAATGTGGAACTGAAACCATGTTAAACTTTCCATAGCAAATCATAGATGCTTAGCTCTACTTTGGATTGTAATCCCCGCAGATACATTTCCAAGCCTTTTAGATAATAAATAACGAGAACAATAAATAATCACTAGAAATTGTTTCCCTCTCGACCAGTAGGCATGGGACTCAGGAACTTTTTTTTATTATTTTCTTTTTTAAACTAAAGAATCACTAATTCAACAGTTGCAAGTAATCTTGTTTTTAGCTGTCTAGCATGCTTTCTAGCAACTTCAATCATGTCTTCTCCATGATACGGTGATGAATAATTATCTTCTCCAGTGATGCAACAACCCAAATATATACAAGAGGAGATCAAACTTCGGTGCTGCTACTCCCATCAAACCCAACCAGTTCCACCACTTTAAGGCATTGATGATGACATTTAGTAGTCTCTTTTACAGCATTTATATGTGCACTTTGATCAAGCCGTATAAACTGCCAGAATCACAAGAGAAGGCATTATTTGCAGACAAGGTTAAGAATACAACAAACTCTTACACCATTACTAATTTGTAATTTTCAATACCTCTCTATTAAGTAGTTCCAAATGCATCTGCCATAGAGGAAGATAGTCAGATAAAATAAATAAGAACAAACTACACAATGAATTAGAAACTAGAACAGTTGGTCAACACAGGAAGATTTGGTTAAAAGTAAATTGCATTTTGCCGGATGTGAAATTTTCTTTTTCTCGATAATTTTCTAGAAGGTTTCTTAAAAAATCAACAAATGAGCTTGTTTTTACATTCCCATTGTAATTCAAGTGATCATTTGTCCCCCACAATGACACGGGTTAGAGTTCCAAAATCAGCCTATCCACCTCTTCAGACCTTGTTAACTGTAGGGGCCATGGATACTGGGTACGACCTCTTTTTTACTTTTTTCAAATGGTGATTCAAGTTATGCAATTGGGTTATGCAACAAACTATTGTCATCAAAAGTAATGTCACAAACTAATTTCGGACATATTCTTGGAACAGGTCAATCATATCGGTTCAACTCAAGAAGACCCATTCCTTGTATATAAAAAATGACCAAATAAACAAAACCCACCAATTTTTTTGGTGACCCATGCTACATGAAAAGGGAATCTTTTGTTACAATAGAAGCAGAAGTGACGTGGATTATTTAAAATCGCAGTCGATTTGTTTTATAAAAAGAAGATATTAATAACTTCTATGAAATGGTTTCACGGGATTCTGCCAATTGTCTTGATCGTAATATAACATTGAGAAATAGGAATCCATGTTATCAAAGGATTTCCTGCGATTATTTCTAGTATGAAATCTTGTTAAATGTACGGCCCATGCATACTAGGTACAACCTCTTTTTTTCTTTTTCTTTTTTCAACGTTGATTCAAGTTATGCAATTGGGTTATGCAACAAATTATTGTCATCAAAAGCAATGCCACAAACTTATGTTGGACAATGACATGAAATATTCCTAGAACAGGTCAATCATATCGGTTCAACTCGAGAAAACCCATTCCTTATTTAAAATAAAATTAAAAAACGACCCAATAAACAAAACCCACCCGTTTTTTTGGTGACCGATACAACTTTTCAGTCAAATTCAGTCATTTAGGATACTAAATCATGTTTTTGTCTCGTAGAAAGACTGTTGAATATTTTGGGAATTTTGTTCATGTTCTAAACGAACTCGAATTCTTCTGAATTTTGGTATTCAGTATTTGGGTAAATTACAGTGATACCCCCCATGTTTGCCTAAAAGACGGGTAAATACAACTTAGGCCATTTTTGGACAGTAACACCCCTCAGATTTGCTAAACCGAACAAAGACACTCCAAACGTGATGAAAATACATGTTTACCCCTTGACTTCAAAGTTGACTAAATTAACTATATAATTTCCTACGAGTTGACCAAAATGACCCTCAACTCTGTGTTTGGATCACTTTACAACTATCACACCCAAACACCACCACCACCACCATCCAAAATCAAGAACCCAACCACTCCCAAATTATATTTTCTTAGTTGATTTCAACATAAATGAAGAAGGCAATTGCATTACTTTAATTATTATATTCTGCTTGTTTTGTTAGTCGGGTAGCTAGATTTTTTCTTGCACAAATGTTAACGGTGAAGGAATAAACTAATAAGATATTGATGGAAAACACCCCCACCACCACCAAACACCACCACCACCATATCCAACCCCACCACCAAAAATTGACTTGGTCGAACTCATTTCACCCGCAACCTGACTTCGGCGAACCCATTTCATCCACGACCTTCGCCTCCACCACCTAACCACCGCACCTTCACCCACCACCTTTGCCGCCCCGACCACCGCATCTTCACCGACAACCTTCACGCGCCACCACCAAGATGAGAAGGTTGAAAGAGAGATACGAGAATCTGTATTAGGTAAAAATAGAATTGAAAAGAGAGAGATAAAGAGAGGGTAGATTGGTCATTTTATGAGAGAATTAAAATATATCTTAAGGCATATTAGACATTTCATGTCAATTAAGGTTGTGTTTGGCTCCTTTTTTATAGAATAGGATGTCATTGTTCAAGTTTGCAAATCTGGGGAGTGTCATTGTCCAAAAATGGCCTAAATTGTATCTACCTATCTTTTAGACAAACCTGGGGTGTTACTGCAATTTACCCTTAGTATTTTTTAGTGATTAGGTTTTTTAGCCTATTTTTTTCGTAATTTTTGGAGAAAAATTAATTTTGAACAGTTTCCTTATACTGCTAGTTTCCTTAGGCAAACGGTTAGGTTTCTTGGTAATTAAGTTTTATTTACTATAAATATGTGTATTATTAATTAATTCAATTATCAATAATATATTAGATTTTTCTACAAATTTTCTATTAACTCTGTGAATTCAAAATTTTTTATTCATTGTTGAATGTTCATAACTTTCGCTTTGTCACAAATAAAGCAACTTAGTTACAAAATTGTCATTAATATTGGTTATAACAATAGGAAAAGAACTCAATCATAGAAAACCACCACAATTTGGTTATTCTTAGTATGCTTGCAGAAATTGTCCATAGTTGCTTTAAATGGCACTGCAGGTACAAAACATTTATAACGGCCATTCCCAAAGCGTAATTGTAGATTACTAACTGAGGTTGTTTAAAAAATAATAATAATAATAAAAATAACTTACTATACCTGAAGCCCGAATCTAATCAAATCTCATTCACACTCTAAATTAATCTCAACTCTAATCAAATCTCATTTAAGCTATGCAACATGGACTCAGGTATGTGTGTCAATTACGGGTATGTATCTATGTGTTGGACGTGTCAGATCTCTAAACAAAAGGTCACATGGACACTGCTAAATATTCATTTGATTTAATTAATTTATTATTTTTTTATAACAAAGTAATGTTTTTATCTAATATAGTGTCAATTTAGGTTTTTAACTTATTTTAAGTAATAATACAATATAATTGAATTGTTGGGTATACCTTAATACATGTCCAACCAAAAGTGTCAGATCCATGTCCGAGTAATATGTGTACTTCATTACTTTTGAAGAATCCATGTAACAAAGCTATGAAATGTGCCATATATGTAGTTTTTTAGAATAATGCAAAGAGAATATCTTGATGTCCCAAGGTTAACATCTCTTCTTTAGAATAGTACAAATAAAATACTTTATGCTCTTAGGTTAACATCTCTTCTTTTTCCGTCAAGTAATACTTTGTTGAAAGCACTCAAATATAATCTTCAGTTAACCCAACAAAAAAGAAAGGGAAGAATGGATGATTTTAATACCCAATTAGATTCATTCCCATCAAAGAATGGCCAATTTCTTTCACACCACAAGCCCCACCATATATAGAAAGTGGAATCACTTTCCACGCATCCTAGGCTAGTGACCCGACTATAGAGCCTCAAGCATGCTCAACATGGAACCTGGCAAGACATAGCAAACCAAAAAGGGAAACAAACAATTTCAGA